GGGACCGGCAACGGGATCGCAACCCTCGGTGTTGTGCCCGCACTGCGCTCAGTCAGTGAGCGGGAACCGGTCTTCACATGGGATCCGAACCCTCAGCGGGAGCGCCGCCGGCTCCCAAGCAGCACACTCTCCAGTGCGCCACCGGGCCGGCCCTGAACTCAGATCTTTTTGATGATAAGGTTCAGGTTCTTTAATGCGAGATTTCACTTTCCGATATGCTATTTAGTGATATTAAGGGAAATATATGCCCTCACAAGTTACAATACCTATTTCTTTTGAAAATACATATTTTATGCATATTCTAGAGAACTAGTATAATGTTGCTTCTCCTTTCAAGAAGTCTGTTCTCTTTTAAAAATATAGAACAACCCTAAACCTTAGGAAAATGCATTATGCTCTTTGTAGAGGTTTGCAAAAAAGTCTAAGACTATTGGCGAGATGTTCCATGAAAGATGTTAATCACTAGTTTACAGTTTAAGTTCCCACTCTTCAAGTGTAGGTAGAAGAAAGAGCCTTCAGTATAGTGTATGTCTATGGAATCCTCTTAGAAGGTTAATAAACAGTTTGTGTTTCTGTATGAAAGAAGATGAGCAAGTGGTTTGACTGACGACATCTTAAAGATAAAACTGCATAACGTGTGGATTATATAACTATTTTTCTAGGGGTTTCAGATGAATATAAATCAATCAAGCTGGTATTTACATATTTATTTGTTGAGTTCAGGATTTATTGGTTCAGGAAAATGGTAACAATTTTAGGTACTTCAAAGGAGGAAGTGATTTCATACAAGGAATTTAATTTTTGAAAAGTTTGGAGCAGTACAGTTTGGAGGTTGCCACTGAACTATTGATTTCAAGGTCAAGCAATCACAGCCATGATTCAGAGGTCAAGAAGCTGCTTTGGCTGCCGCTGCCGACCCTGATTCACACTTTAAAGGCATGTGACAAGATAATGAAACATGGAGTTCACCAGAAACACTCATATCTTCTGGGATTTTCTTTTTAGCCTTCACAATCACAGGAAGATTCCCTTTACTTTCCTTTTGGTTTTGAAAATCCACATGAGTTCATCTTATTGACAGAAGCTGAATTGAATTTGAACTTTAGCTGCAGGGGAATTTGGGAACCAGCTCTTTGATACAGGAGGACATAACAAGATGGGCATGAATGCTGAATGTCAGTTAGTAATGTGCAGCTTAGAGATGACAATGCATAGGTAATGATCAGTGTGGGTTTTGGAATCAGACACCTCAGAATTTGCCACTTAGTATATGTGTGATTTTGAGCAACTTATTTTCATTTTCTAAGTTTTATTTTTATCATCTGTAAAATGGACATAATGATTGCTGTAAAGATTAAATGAGGAAACCTTGTGGATGTGGTGTGTCAGTTAATGTGGCTTTAGTTAAAAATATAAACAATATGAAATTATAAACAATAAAGGGATATATTATGTACCAACAAGTCAGAAAAGGCTCCATCCAGTTTTAATTAATTCAATGCCTTAGTGTTGTCATCATGGGCCAATGGGCTTAATTCTGGGGCTGATCTTTCTCATGGATGCGTCATGGCAGCAGCATCCTAGATATCACATCTGTGTATGACACCATCCAGAAAGAATATGTATTTCTATTTCTGGGACTCCTGTTTAGGAGCCAGAAAACCTTTCCCAAGCATCGCTAAGTAGATTCACCCCAAAAGAATATATTATTTTTCTTTAATCTGTTCACTTTATGTAAATCTTAAATAAAGCTTCCACCATAATAACCTTGCATTCTAGAATAAAAGTGTCCTCATGATTTTTAAAATATTGCTAGATTAAGTTTGTTAACACTTTCTGTAGGATTTTACATCTATGTTGTCAGTGAGATTGGCCTGTAATTTTCCTTTCTTGTACTGTTCCGGTCAAGGGTTGGAATCAAGGTTAGACCAGTCCCATAAAATTAATTGCAGAATATTACTTTTTCTTTGTGTAAAGTTTGAATTATCTGTTCATAATGTTTGGTAAAACTTGTCTGTAAAACTGCTTGGACCTTGTATTTACCTTGTCAGGAGATTTTAACTACTGATTCAATTTTTTTAATGGTTTTCAAATATTATATTTTGGGCCAATTTTGCTGTATATTTTTCTAGCTATATATGAGGGTACTTCAAAAACTGTGGAAAAATGGAATTAGAAGGTACTACAGATCTCTCCATAACTTTCTGAAGACCGCTTGTATTTAAGTTTTCAAATTTATTGGTATAAATTTGTTCTTATTCTTTCACTATCTTTTTAAATCCTTCTGTATCTGTAGCATAAATATAAATGAGAAAGATTTGTTGACTTTTCCCACTACAATGGCAGGCCTGTCAATTTTCCCCTGTAGTTCTAGTGATTTTTACTTTATGTTTTGAAGCTATTTACATGCCTATAAGTTAAATTTTTTTTTTTTTTTTTTTTACTGTGGAGCAAAAACTTTTTCCGTTGAGAGTTATTTTTTCTTATTTCTGATATTATCTCATGTCTTCTGGCTCCCATTGCTGCTGTTGAAATATTTGCTGTCTATTGAATAGTGGTGCTTTGGTTTTGAAACTCCAATTACCTGTATGTTAAGCCTTAGTAGTATATATGTTACTAATACGTTACTATATAGTATCTACTATATATGTAGTATCTATATAGTGTACTATAGTAT